TTTTTTTTTTTTTCATGTCTTCTTATTTGGGATGAAAATTTATATCTGTGTAGCAATTTCATCAGATAATTAATCCACTCCGAACTGGTTGTAGATAAATGATTGACTTGTTAAATTCACTAACAAATTGGCATCAAGGAACTGGAATGATGGACCAATATTTGGTTATGAGATATTAGATAACCATGCATCTATAAACATCTTTAACCCATGATCCCTCCTTCACTATTCCTGTTATGACTTGTGAGTAATGATTGTCCTGGGGTTTATGATACTTTATACAAATTATTGTGGCGATTAGTGCTATTAACGAACTTTCTTCTTTTCCTATATGTTCTTTTGGCTACACAGCAATCCCGCTATCAGAAGATCACAAACCAAATAGAAGTGATGAGAGAAAGAGAATTGAAAGTGCTGGAGGTGTTGTCATGTGGACAGGTTTGGTTTCCTCATGCAAGACTACTGTGCTAATTTGACCATATGCAGATGCAAGATGAGGCAATTATTCCCTTCAAAATGGTGTCACGTGATCTGTGAAGCTGTTTTAGTGTTGGAAGAAATATGGACTTAATCATGGGCTTTTACTAATATGAACTTGAGTCCTTTTTTGTTAATCATGGTGTATATGATGGATGGTTTATTGACTTATTCCATTTCATTGTGTGAATGTGAGTTTATCCTTGAGTGTGATGTTTACTGTATGGTAACGAAAATAAGCACATGTTCCTTGTCAAAGGAGAGTTATCATGATAACACATTACTGTTCTTTCACAAAATTCTCATATATCCGGAGGAAGCTATGGTGTTCCATTATTGCTACTATCATTATTAACTTATTACATATGTATTTAATTTAGTTACTTTTTTTGTATCAGGTACTTGGAGGGTTGGAGGTGTCTTGGCAATGTCTCGTGCTTTTGGCAATCGCATGCTTAAACAGTTTGTTGTGGCTGAACCTGAGATTCAGGTACCCAGAATTTTAGTTATAGCGGTTTAGTTTCTTTGTCGTAACTCAATAAGGATTATTAGTTAAGACCATCTTTATCCGTGATCCAAGAGTTGGGTCACGGGGAAAAAGACCAGAAAAAAAAAAGAAGAGAGGAGGTCATGTGCGGTGCGTCCCAGGTCACAATTGGGTCGCGACACCGGTTTTGTTTTGAGATAGGATAAGTGTATTTTTCTTGTGTTAAAAAAAATAATAAAAATATTGAAATTTATATTTTTTCATTCTCTATAAATAGAGACCACATTTGATAGGTTTTGGAACGCATTTATAATTTCTAAATAAATAAAAATAAAATAAATATGTTAGGCTGTGTTGGTTGTGTTGTGGATAAAGATAATTCGAGTTGAAAGATTTGGTTGTGTAAGTGGGGGAGAGAAATAATTTTTAATTAATACGTTGGGTTGGGTTGGGTTGTTGATAAATGTAGTGTTATGGTTTAGAGTTAACTGCTGCTTGGGTTGGTGATTATAGTAATAAATTGGTTTTTATTGATTCAAGTAATTATGCATTTTTTATCAAAAGCTTGCTTTTACCTATGTAAATGCAAATAGGACCTGGAGGTTGACGAAAACCTTGACTTGCTTGTTCTTGCCAGTGATGGACTTTGGGATGTTGTACCTAATGAGGTAAATCGCCTTTTGCACTCAGCTGTCATATTTGTTTCTTTTCAGCCTTCTGGGTATAAATATTTGATTTATTTCGTAATCAAACATCACACTCCCTGATGACATTGTTTAAAGAAAAATTTGGTTATTTCGACTTTATCATCCAAATTGTCATCTCTGATAGCTCAAAAACTCCACCATCGTAGATTTGGAAGGTAGAACATGTTCCAATGTGACACCCACTTAGACTAGTAGCAAAGATCGAACAAAACGAGAGAATCGTGCATAGAAAGAAAGAAACTCATAACCTTACAAAAATTACTTTCAGGATGCCGTCTCGATAGCACAAAGAGAGGACGACCCTGAAGGTGCTGCTAGGAAACTAACCGAGACTGCTTTCACTCGTGGAAGTGCCGATAATATCACGTGCATTGTTGTCAAGTTCCACCATGCCAAAGCAGCGAGTCTTGTGGAAGCCCAACAACAAATTCTGGAGTCCAATCCTCAACCAGAGGAATCCCATGAAGACAGCAAACTAAACCCCAACGAGCCTGAGGAAGCCCCTGAGACCTCAAAAGCAGACCCCGAGGAAGCCCATCAGACTTCCAAAGTGGATCCTGGAGAAACTGTACGGGTTGTGATTTGTTAATTTAATTTGATTATTTGTTTGTTTCCTCTATTTTGTTCTTGTAATCTTATATCTACGTGTGTGTGAGTTGACGTTCATAAAGGTGTTAACCTTTACTTTTTTTATTTTTTCCACCTTCAATTTCAATGGGTGGTATAATTTTATTTAAATAAAGACTGGAGTAACACTTGTATTTTGTTGGTCCCCCTTTGGTTTACGTCCCGTTGATTCCACCGAGCAGGTTGGTTGATGCCTGCCCCGAATCAGAACGGGTAATTTGTCAACTTTCATTTCATTTGTTTTATGATTTGTTTTACTTGCCCAATTCTTAAGTGGCTGACTTATTATCATTTTTACGATTGTATGAACCTCCTTTGAGTTAATCCAAGTTATTTGCCGGTTTGGAAATAGAAAGTTATTACTCCCTCCTATTCATAATAAGAACGATTCATAATAAGTGTCGTTCTGAGAAATTGTACGGTTACTAAGATTTTTTTTTTTTTTTGGTCAATAATAACTGTCATTAATGAAGATATAGATGAATGTTTTGAGAAAATATGAAGAGTGAATATAAAAAGACGTAGTGTATTTATTAGTTAGATGAAAGTATTAATGGAAAAACATGTACAAAATATTAATATTTATTTTATTAATAGTTGATAATGTCAAAATGACATTTAAAAAGAATTAGAGATAGTATCATTTTTGCCTTTTTTTCGTTTATGTTATGTACTGAGAAAACCTTGGTGACAAACTAAGTAGCAGATTCTATTTTCCAAGAGGATGATTTAATAATGAACTGATTTTGTTTAAAAATAAAATCGTTTCTTGAGATATTAAGGGAGCATTTAGCAAAACCACATATATGATGAATCCTAGAAGTTAAACCGTTTCTTGAGATATTAAAGGAGCATTTAGCAAAACCACATATATGATGAATCCTATTTTCTTCATCAGTTTTGTCTGTGTATTCAAGATCAATGGGTGTTTAATCCCATGTGAATATTGAAGGTTGATATATTCGTGTTTGATGGGTGTTTAATTCTTGTGTGAATATTGAATATTGATACATCGAATTGGAGGACTCCAGATCAAAGAGAGGGCGGTTCTGTTTTTTCCGCGGTGATTCATCGGTGTTGGGTGGCGGTTGGATGGGGGGATTTGGGGTGGACAGTCCGACTTCCTTCACCGTGCTCCTTTTCTTCCTGGTGTTGGACGAAGGGGTCGACAGTCGTGGCCAGACCTCAGTCTGGGTTGTAGTGATTTAGGCCTGTCAATGCTGTCGACTGTGGGTGGTTGAGGTTCGGGTTTCCAGTCTAGGGCTGGAGTGTTCGTCCGGATTGGTTGGGGTTGTTTGTGTCAGATTTAGTTAGGCGTTTTATTGCATCATGTTCCATTAAGGTACAAAACCTAGGAGATATGAATCTAAAAAGACATGCCTCAACTCTAACGAGACACCCCCCTTCTTTATTTAAATGCTTCAGTTGAAAAGGCACCTTACCTAACCCAACTCCTGTCGATGTACTTGACATCGTGATTGACGAAAATTGAAGTTACGAATGAAGTAGCTTCCCAGGCGTATTGAAGATCCCCTCCACACCTGCGAACCCGTGGGTCTCTATGTTGTACCTAAATTTTTACAGACTCTAGACCGATCCATCAAGTCCAGGTCGAATGCGCATTGGGCCTACAAATACGAGCACAAGTAGCCCAAGAAGAAGAACCGACAAGATTTGTCGATCTCCCCGATCAGCCGACCACCCCTTATGTCGATCTTATCCTGAATTTTCCCCATGAAGATTGAAGATCTATCTTGCGTGTAGAAGCAAACATGTTAAAGCTGATAAAGCAACCATCCAAACCGTATTATCCTCAAAAGTTGAGTTTTTCCTGAATACATGCGGCGCCACCTTATGCCCCTAGCTGCCACAGAGCATTTATTTTACTTTTACCTTTTTTAGTGTACAAATACCAGCAAACAATTGCTTCTAAAAAAAGAGGGAATAAATATACAAAATAGTATTACAACCACTAAACATAAATATTGTCAATAAATATTCCTGGAGAAACCTTTTCCCTTATCTAATCTCCTCCTCGAATTGACAAAATCCGTGTCTTATTATTTTTCCGCACTTGTCTTTCTGTTTCCTTTACTTTCTTATTTGCAGTTAAATTCCGAAATAGAATTATAACCTCCTTGATATAGGATATTATCTGTATAAGGACGAACCGATTTGGTGAGCCGGTCGAGAAGAGCAGACCGGGAGCAAACCAAGCCGAGAGGCGGGAATCCAAGGGATCGAGCAG